CTGATACCAGATGCTCCACTGCCCAAGGGTCGGTTATACTCCATGTCGGAGCCTCAGTTGGCTGCGCTTCGAGAGTTTCTAGATAAAAACTTGGCTCAGGGGTTTATTCGACCATCGTCGTCTCCTCTTTCAGCTCCCATTCTTTTTGTTAAAAAGAAGTCAGGAGAATTACTCTGATGTTGTGATTATCGCCGTTTAAACTCTATCACAGTGAGGAATAGTTATCCTTTGCCGCTCATTCCGGAATTAATGGAGCGGTTGCGGGAGGCTACTATCTTCACTAAACTCGATCTGCGTGGGGCCTACAACCTGGTTCGGATGCACAAGGGGGACGAGTGGAAGACGGCGTTTGGCACTCGTTATGGTCATTTCGAGTACACCGTCATGCCATTTGGTCTGACCAACACTCCCACGGTATTCCAGCATTTGATGAACGACATTTTTCGGGATATGCTGGATAGGTTTGTCGTGGTGTATCTGGACCACCTTCATCAGGTCCGTCAAGTGCTGCAGCGTCTTCGGGAGCATAAGCTCTATGCGAAACTGGAGAAGTGTTTCTTTTTTCAGTCTTCAATAGAGTTTTTAGGGCATATCATCTCTCCCGAGGGTATTGCTATGGACCCTAAAAAAGTTGAAGCCTTGTGTAGTTGGGAAGCCCCTCGTCGAGTAAAGGACGTGCAACGTCTTCTGGGGTTCACCAATTACTATAGGACCTTCGTTCCAGGTTTTGCTAAAATGGATCCTATTACTCAACTCCTTTGTAAGAAGGTCCCGTTCCGGTGGGGGCCTCCACAACAACAGGCTTTTGAAACTTTAAAGAAAGCTTTTGTGGCCGAGCCGATATTGAGGCATCCTGATCCGAATCGTCCATTTGTGGTCGAGACAGATGCCTCTAATGTGGCTATCGGGGTGGTATTGTTGCAAGCTTCAAAGGATGGTGCACCTCTTTTCCCCTGCGCATACTATTCTAGGAAGCTCACAGCCTCTGAGCGTAATTATACTATTTGGGAAAAGGAGTTGTTGGCTATTAAGGCTGCATTTGAGACCTGGCGACATCATCTAGAGGGGGCTCGGCATAAGGTGGAGGTTCGGACGGATCACCGAAACTTGGAACATTTGTCTACCGCCAGGAAGTTGAAACAACGCCAGATCCGGTGGTCGTTGTTTTTTGCAAGGTTCAATTTTTCTGTTACTTATGTTCCAAGTGGACAGAATCAGAGAGCAGACGCGTTGTCTAGGAAACCCGAATATCTCGGTCCCGAGGATCCTCTTCCTCCATGAATGGTGTTGCCACCGGAATCTGTGCTTCAAGATCCAGTAGATTTGCGGGCTCGAATACAGGAGGCGCAGCGATTAGACGCATGGATGCAGCAGAAAAGGGGGGAAGTTGGACCTGATTCCCCATGGACTTTGGAGGAGGACTTGTTAAGACATCGGGGTTTATTGTATGTACCCACCAGGACACTTAGAGCCCTCATCATGACACAATGTCATGACAATCCTGCTGCTGGTCATTTTGGTTTTTACAAAACTCCGCACTTGGTCACCCGGACTTTTTGGTGGCCTCGAGTTCAACATGATGTGTTTGCCTACGTTGCTTCTTGTGTACAATGTCGACAAGCGAAAGCAGCATCGGGTGCGCCTCCTGGACTCCTTCAACCACTGCTGACTCCGGGCAGACCATGGGGAGCAATCTCCATGGACTTTTTAACACACTTGCCCTCGTCATCGGGTTATACGACGGTACTCATGGTGGTTGATATGCTCACTAAAATGACCCATTTCATCCCGTGTAGAAGATTATCATCGGCTCGTGTTACTGCCTGGCTTTTTATACAACACGTGTTCCGGTTACATGGCTTACCGGACAGAGTTGTTTCAGATCGCGGTGTTCAGTTCACCGCTCAATTCTGGAAAAGTCTAATGAACGCTCTACGAGTACAGGTATGTTTAGCGTCGGCGCACCATCCGGAAAACGATGGCGGGACTGAGAAAGTAATTGGCATCCTCGCTCAATACCTCAGATGTTTTGTAAATCAACGACAAAATGACTGGGTGACCTTTCTTCCATTGGCAGAGTTTGCCTTTAATAATTCTCGACACACCTCCACCCACATGACGCCTTTTTACGCCAATGTGGGTTATCATCCGAGGTTTTTCCCCATCGATCGCAGATTTCCAGTTCCAGAGGCACGAGACTTTTTGTTGGAGTTATATGCCATACACCAGTTAATTTCCAGACAATTGGAACGAGCGAAAGCAGATTATAAACGTTTCGCAGATCGTTCGTGTCAAGCGACGCCTCCGTTGGCTGTGGGTGACAAGGTGTGGTTGTCAACGAAACATCTTCGAGTCGATCGTCCGACTAGGAAGTTGGATCATCGCTTTATTGGTCCCTTCCCTATCGAGGCGGTTATTAATCCTGTGGTTTATCGGCTCACCCTACCACGCTCCATGCGCATTCACCCTGTTTTTCATTGCTCCCTGTTAGTACCTGACACCCCATCGTGTACTCTCCGTTCTCCAGAAGATACAGGCTCTCCATCTAGGCCCAGCACTGAACCTGTTACAGATACCACAGTGGTTGGAATTTATGATTCACGATGGCTGAAGGGACGATTCCAGTATTTTGTGGGGAGATTAGAAAATGAAACGGAGATTCGTTCTTGGCAGGATGTGTCCAAGGTACATGCCCCAGACCTTACTCGAATATATCATGCACAATTCCCTTCAAAACCACATCCTGATCGTCAGACTTGGGGGAAGGGCCCTGCGGTGAGGGATAGTGTTGTGACTGGAAGGATCAATCCTGCTGGGAGTTTTGACTCTGATGACTCTGAAGATGGAAGATTGGAGCCTGCTGTGAATGTGGAGTCTGAATTATCAGAGGACACAGACGTGAGCCAGGGGGATGAGAGATTGTCGCAGAGACAATCCTCCCCAGAACCTTCGACTTCGTTCATGCCAGCAAATGATCAACAAAATGAGACAGAAGTTTCCAGTAAGGAAACTGACAGATCGTGGATTGACGCCAGAACTAGGAGAACCAGGAAACGTCAATCTGAAGGGAGGCATCAGGCCAGACATTGATTGGAGAGACTGACACGCCTATCCAGGTGATTTAAAGAGGCGTGCTGACTCTCAAGCTTTGCTTGGAAGCAAAGTGTTTGATGAGTCGAAAGAATACATTTGGAGTGGCCTTGTGAATTATGGACAATTCTGATTAGCCTGACAGGTTCCGGGAAGTCTGCCAAGGACTGGAAAACAGTGCTAATTAACCCTTTTGAATCCGGTTTTGTTTCTGCTTGAATATTTTGAATTCTGAAACCTTGTCTTCTCATCTAGGAACATAGGTGAGACATAACAGGTGATTATTAATATTGTAAGATTAGAGAATTATCAATGTAATGAATACTGTAAACTTTGATTATAATTGCAAAGAGACATTTGTACCCAGAAAATACACTGTTTAATGGAAGATGGTATGTTCGTTAAAAAAAATAAAAAACTTTATTAAAAAAAGGGAAAGCAGCCCCCACCTTCCTTAATAGCCCACAGCAGATGTCAGCACTTGAGATAAATAGATAGCTCTACTCATAAGCAAATATTCTCACCCAAGATCCAACAAAGGTAGGATTAGTGTTCAGCCACAATAGGAATTGCCCAATGCCCCTTCATTGCATCAGTCCAAACTTCAATCAAACTTAGCTCAGACAAGCTAGAGCCAGCTATAACCCCTACATAACCCCTACAACAGCCAATAAAATACATGCTCTTGCACATGAACAGGAAGTTCAATGCAAATCCCAATAGAAGATATAACTACCACCCTTCTCAGCTCCATGTGATTCTACTTCATCAATAAATGGACCCTCTTTCCAATCAGCCTCCAGTCTCCATTTTGTCTCCAGTGCCTTTCTCCCTGCTTGGAATTGAACCAGATGGATATTTCTTTTCACAAGATGATAAATGTTCAGTCTATAAGTACCAGACCAGTATTGTACATTTATTTTTAAGTTATCTATGGCAGCTGTGGGGTGTGTAGAATAAGGAAAGAACACTGTGGACTCCAAAGTATAACATAAAAGGCTATAGGTCAACTGGTCTTCAGCTGATCGTCCGAGGAACCTCGCTAAGCATCAGAACGGCTCGAAGGACTTTTGCTGAACAAGCGTTCCTGCAGTTGTAACACAACCGCGTACAGAAACACGCACGCAAACACTCCTGGGGCAGATTTCGGGTTTCCGCTGGAACATCCACTAGTTCCTCTGAAAATGAGTTGAGTTCTGGGAATTCTGGGAGTTGAAGCCCACAAGTCTTTAAAGGGCCATCGTTCCCTACTCCTGCAATCTATGCTAATAAAATTTGCTTTCCATGTGCCACGAGTGTCTTTGCTTCCAGTACAATAAATTTAACACAGCCTTCCCTTCTAGACCCACCTATACGCTGTTGCGAGGAGGGGACTTCTAGCTGCCTGTCTCCCTTCTACATTTTCATGATATTAAATATCTAGTGAGAAATTTCGCAGGTGAGATTTTTCTTCCGAATCCGGACATTTCCCAGTTAGTGAAACTCAAAGGTGCAACTGGACTTTCACTGAAGAAGCTTCTGAGATGAGAAGCGAAACGTCTTCAAGGAAAAAAAAACAAACCAAAAGTCCAGTTGCCTTTTGAAAAAGCACTTTAGGAACTACCATGACCTGGATGACTGAGAATCTCCACAGACACTTAGTGAAACCTTAGGGAGCATTAAAAAACTTTCTCGAGAAAAAATCCAGGCGTGCGAGTAGGTTGGAAAGATGTGCGCTCGGACTTTTTCAATAGATAATTATGATTTGAACAAAATGTAAAACAACAAAGACTTCCGCTGTTCACGCAATTCCCCAATATTTCAATTGAAAGGAAGCCATCTATCGACTGCAAAGTAGAACCTGAAGTTAACGCCAAGAATCAAACACGCAGCTCTCTAGGTTTCTCCCGGTGCTTTTTCCGGAAGTCTCCTTCTCAGGAAATGCGGTTTCCTCACTCTAGTTCCGAGGGACATTTTGTTCCGGGCCGTAAAGTGTGAATCGCCGGCCTGATTGCCGCGGCCACTTTTGTTTCGCTTTGGTGCCGTCACTATGATTCCTCTGCCCGTGGTGGTCTGCGTGTTGGGGGGCTGGTGCACCATATACATAGGCGACACGATACTGAAGGTAAGCCTTTCCCTTTCTTAGGCCCTTGTATGGGAAATCTTTGCAGGCGATACGTTCCTCAAGTCTACGGAGGAGGGAGAGGAGCAGCTCATAGCGGCCGCGAGCCTTTTCCCCGTTCTGCCCAACTTTCGCTCGGGCTCTGCCCACCTTGCCTCGTCTGCAATGACAGTTGCTCATACGCTGCCCCTCTAACCTCTTAAATTTTATTTTAAATTTTTTATTTTAAATTTTATTTTAAGAGGCGCAGAGTAAGACCGAAACGCGATTGGTTCCCTTGCTGAGAACTTGTGTTTCTTAGGTGCTTGATAGGCGCGGGGGTGGGCCACAAATAAGGATGTTTGGGCTGCCAGCCGCCCAAGGAATAAGGATCCAACGTTTACTGGACTGCTTTTTTATATGCGACTTTTTGAGTGCGGGAGCCACTTTTTGTATAGGTAATCCTGGACTTAGGACAATTGAGCCCAAAGTTTCTATTGCTAAGTGAGACATTTATTAGAATAGAATAGAATAGAATAGAATAGAATAGAATTCTTTATTGGCCGAGTGTGATTGGACACACAAGGAATTTGCCTTGGTGCAAATGCTCTCAATGTACATAAAAGAAAAGATACATTCATCAAGATTACTTAACAAGTGTCTCCCTTAGCAATAGAAACTTTGGGATCAATTGAGTTTGGACGATTCCCCATTGACTTCGCTTGTCAGAAGGTTGCAAAAGGTGATCACATAACCCTGGGATACTGCACCTGTTATAAATGAGTCAGGTGCCAAGCATCTTTTGATATTTATATGACCTTGAGGATGATGCTAATATTATAAGTGTGAAAAATGGTCACAAGTCACTTTGCATTGCCACTGTAACTTCAGTCACCAAACAAACCGTTGTAAGTTGAGGATTACCTGTACTTTGTTACATGATCACTTTTGTAACCTTCCCAGAGATCTGGCATCGGACAAGCAAAGTCAATGGGGGAAGCCTAATCCATTTAATGACCACATGATTAATTTAACAACTGTAGTGATTTAATTAACAGTGGCAGAAAAAGTACAAAAGCAAAATATACTTAACTGCCTTATTTAGGAATGGAAATCTTGGGCTCAGTTGTGGTCATAAGTCTGTATTCAGAATGAATTAGGCACAAGTTTTCAGTTTGGAAGTGCATACACTTCCCCACAGTAATATTCTCCAAGCCTTGCAAATCTCTTCAATTTCTGTTGTCGGAATTCTGGTTCTTCTCATTTCATCTTCTCTTTGATTTTGTTTTAAAATGAAGTTAAGCTTGTGCACTTTTACATCAGATACTTATTCATCTCAGTTAGCATGTTGGGTTCATTGTTTTCATTGCTATTACAGGAATCTACTGCTGCAATTTCTTTCAAAATAGCAAGACTTTTCCATAGGCATTCCAGAAAAAAAATTGATAAATAATGCACTGTTGATGCTTTACATCAGGGTATCCAACCTTGGCAACTTGAAGACTTGTGGCCTTTAATTCCCAGAATTCCCCATCTGCCCCTGCTTTTCATCCCATCCAAAGAACAGCTGAAAATAGTCAAAAATATAGCAGAGGTTGAATAAGACAGTCCATATTCTGCCTTTCCAGTGTGGAATTGATTACTATTATGCTTACATCAGTTCTGTTGATAGTTCTCGCCTCTCCTATTGAAACATAAGAGAGAAAGCCAGCTTTCAGCATCACCATCATTTCATGTCTGTGAACTTCATATGATCCATACATTTTTAAGGAAAGAAAAATGGTGGATGACTTGGCTCAGTACTTATTTGAGAAGAATATGTATCTTTCAGGAACAGGATAAACAGAAGCAGGAGTGGAAGAACAAGAGAAAGAGGCAAATAATGTTCTGCTCTATTGGTGTCTTGTGCATAGATAAGGCAGCTATTTTGTGAATGAACCACTTGCTCTTAATAGCCATTTTGCTGGAATGCTCTTCATCGTGTTCTCAACGTACCAGATGTTGGCTTGCTAGCCCTCATTAGTTAGGGACACATTTTCCAGAAGTAAAAAAAAACATGAGATATTTGTGCAATCATACTTCTAATTTGCAAAGTTCTTGACTTTCTTTTTTGTTTTACTGTATTCACCTTCTCTTATAGTCATCTTCTCTGAAAGAATCTTATGAGGAATGGCTTGTATCCTATGGATTGTCAGTCTCTCCATTCCATGTGCGATGGCAGACAGCTTTTTTCAACCGCCTTTTCTACACCTGGGGAAGATGGAAGCCAAGATTTCTTTATCTCTGGTATTGTTTCACATATACCATTTAGGCATCTATAAGACAATTACTGGAAATTCTTCATTTCAGTCCTTCCAATCAGAATGGTTACTTTCTGAAACTGATTGTTTATATGACAGCTAGATAGGATGCCCTTTTGTTTTAGCATTAAGTATTCTTTTTTGTACAATGAATGCATGTTTCTGGTGTAGGAAATTGGGAGCCATTAAGTATTTGAATTTGCCATGTGTGCTTACCAAGTTGGAGATGATATAATTTATATTAATATTTACATGCTTGCTTCAGGTTTAACATAGGGATGATTTTTGGCATAGCAGCTATGTTTGCTTCTGTGGTTCTGCTTGGGAAGACATTGACGCAGACTCTGTCACAGATGTTAACTGAAAACCCTGCAAGTCAAAGTGATCAAATGCTGCAGGTTGTGGTGAGTTTTATTTCTATATTTATAATCTAAACCAGTGAAATAAAACTTAAAATCAGTATCTTACAAGAAGTCTTTCAGACTTTTGCTCTGCCAATGTGTCTTAATATTTATTTTTATATTGGAGGATTTCTGGGGCTACTTTCCCAGAACCCAAGGTAACCTAAAGTACTTATGATACACGTAGGCAGAAAAAAGTATCCAGGAAAAGGGGAAAAACACATCATCTGGACGCTTCACATTTATTGCAGGGGTACAGCTTTTAGTTACAGCTCAAAGTGCTGGCTTTCATCTGTAAAAACCTATAAGGTTTGTCACCTAGATACTTGCAGGACTGCCTTTTCTAAATAGAATTGATTCATTACTATGCTTTTTTCCTGGGGAAAGTTATCACTTATTGTCAGTTGGCCGGGTCAGAGAATCCAAAGCGTGGGTAGTCTCTGCTTCCTTGCTTGAAGACTGAGTCAACAAAGCTTAGTCCTACCTCCTTCCACTGCGCATGCCAAATTTTTGACTCAGTCTTCATGCAAAGAAGACACATGGAGAGAGTGCTCAAAAGAAGAAATTAATCACACTTTGGATTCTTTGAATTTGGAAAGAAGCAAACTTAAAAACAGCAAACTGTGAGTAAAGCAAAAAGGGAGTGGAAGCCATGGACAGACAGACAGCCCGGGATTCCCTTGCAAGTAGGGAGAGTGCTAAACAGTTGTTTAGTACTCAGAAGAAAGCAGTGGTGGCCCCAGAGTGAGCAAGTGGTCTTGCGCTTGGCCATCAGGGAAGGAACTGGTAGGCAAGCGATTGGCCATCCTGAAGCCACCGGGCAAAGATAAAGCAAGGGACTGCCAAACAGCTGATGGGCAGCCACGGCAGCTCCAAAAGAACAGAGCTAGCTTGGGTTAAGCAAAGGACAACAGATACAGGAGCCTCCGCGTAGCCTCCAATAGTTTTTAAAAGGGGTCCTAAGAGACAAAGACAAGACACTCAGTTGCAGCTGTGTGAGCTCTGGAAACAACCCTGCAAGCCCACCCAGTTGAAAGGGGGCTAGAGTCCATACTCATTCCCGGCTAAGCATATGCTTGAGTGTTTAGGAACTAGCAGACCACTCCAGCTGAGCTCCAGCGAGAGCAAAGCTATTATTCCAGACAACAAAGGGGACAACATGGCTGATTTTTCAGAAACGGCTTGGAAGATCAGGGATCGCCTGACCCAAGCCCTAATAGAGAGCAGGGCTCAAAGGGACCTAGGGAGGCTACCAGATCATCAAGGATAGAAGAGAGAGAGAAACCACTAATCTAGACATCTAAATCAGATGAGAGAGAAGCCTTAAGGAGACAAAGGGTCATTGAAAAGAGCTTTGCAAGGGCTGAGAAGGAGGCAGAGAGAAATGGAAATTCCTGTGTTCCAGCAGGCAGGCCAATGGAAACCAAGCATCAGGAGAAGAGCGCCAGAGAGTCAACACCAGAGGGCGCTGATGAGCAGTTTTTTCAACCAGCTCTTTGTTTAGAAGAAAATAACAGAGAAGCAAGGAAAGCCCCAGGAATGCAATGAAAGCCAGAAGCCTTCCCCCAATAGGAGGAGGCTGGCAACAGAGGCCAGTTTTACAGCAGCAGGACTCAGAGAACAATCCCTTAGGGAGGAAATAAGGGCCATAATGTGGGAAATGCTTTCAGAGGTTAGGGATGGGCAAGGTAATAGACTTAACCTGGTGCATAATGAGAAAAGGCAAGAGGCACAACATCCCTCACTGACAGGAGAAGCAGGGGAGGAATTGAGGTTCCAGAGATCCAATTCAATTAGGTCATACACCCAAAGTGAGGCTTCAGTTTCAGGGGAGGATGATCTGAAAGAGTCAGCCTTTTCAGATGAAGAGGTTTATGAGACAGAAACCCCAGCGTTCACCGGCCTATTTCACCAGGAGCTGTTTAAGATGCTGCTAGGGAAAGCCAAAGTAGCAACAGGATTGGGGAAGGTAACAGCTACAGAGGAATCTGATCTAAAACCAACAAACCAAAAGACAGGCTGTTTGCAAGAACTAAGATAAAAAGCGAAGTGGTGCCCTCACCTGAATTGTTCAGAGAGGTAATGGAAGGGCAGCTGGACCGACCAGTAATTTTCTCAACACCAGGGGGAAATGAGAAGAGGAATTATAACGTGGAAGCTGCGGATTTGATCCCAGTTCCAACAATAGATAGAGCAGTGGCGGCTTCTACGTCTACTGCCGTTTTGACCAATGACGCGGAAGACGGTCTAAAAGGGGAAGGCAAGAAGGTGGAGCAGACCCTCCAAAAGGTCCACCAAGCTGCAGCATGGTCGGTAAAAGCAAATTCTACTGCCTCATTTTTTAGCAGGACAGACCTGATATGGCTTGAACAGATGTAGGAGAGGGCACCACCTGGTGATCTTTGAACAGGATTTAAACAAAATAATAGCAATGCAGCTAATAGCTGATGCCACCCTCAGTGAGGTCAAGTATGCTACCAAGGATATAGCAGCTTCAGTGGCAGTAAAGCGTCTAATTTGCCTCTGCCACTGGCAGGCGGATTTGAAGCATAAGTGGAAACTTGCTTTGGCCCCAGCTAAAGGGGACAAGCTACTTGGGGAAGCCATTGAACCACTACTGATCGAGACTAAAGACAAGAGAAAGTTCTTGCCTAGGAAGTTTGGTCAAGCAGATAGGTGGTCATCACCATACACGTGACGGCAGTCCTTTCCAGCCTCTGGGGGAGGCTTCGGTCACTCCCAGTATTCCCAGAGATAGTACACACAGATGCCAACCAGGCAACCGGATAGATCCAGATTTAGAGACAGGGGCAGTCAATGATTCCAAGGAAGATGACCATTCAAGGGCCCCTCCAACAAGCCCTTGGCCACACAAAGTGACAGTCGGAACAACACGCCCATCAGCGGAAGACTGGGCCTATTCGCCAACCGATGGGAGACAATAACAACAGACAAGTGGGTCCAGGACACAGTAAGAAGAGGCCTATTTCTAGAATTCCTTTCCAGACCTCCGAACTCATTCAGAAGGTGCCCGATACCAAGAGACAGAGCCAAAAACGTCATCATGGAGACAGCAGTGCAACACCTGCTGGACATGGTTTCTATTACCTTGCCAGAGAGCAGGCAAGGACAATGCAAGGTCAAAGATACAGGTCCCAGAAGTTTCCAGAGTGAAAGTTTCCTTTCAGAGGTGGAGTTCACAGGCCATGACCAAGGGATGTGGGTTCAAGGAACCCAACTGACTAACCATTAGAACAGATGCCAGCCTGGTAGATTGGGGGGGGGCACTGTATGACTCAGATTACACAGGGCCAGTGGTCCAAGACAGACCTCAAGAACAACATCAACTGGCTGGAGCTCAGGGCTATGCACCTGGCTCTAAGAACTTTGAAGACAAGAGTAGTATGTCAGCATGTTTTGATCCTGATGGACAATGTGATTGCCAAGGCACATATCAACAGACAGTGGAGGGACTCCCTGGCACTCATGCAAGAGGCAGAACGTTTTGGCCACTGGGTGGAGAAACATCTATCAATGAGAGCAGAGCATATCTGAGTGGCAGAGAACATGCAAGCAGACTGGCTCAGCAGAATGATGGTCGACCATGCAGAATGGCATCTACACCCGGACCTATTCAGGGAACTGACACACAGGTTCAGGAAACCAGTCCTTGATCTATTTGCGTCCCCAGCAAATGCACAACTCTTGAGATTTTTCTCAAGATTCTCAACACTGGGGGCGGAAAGGGCCAATGCTCTTTGAGGGGCTTGGCCCAGGGGTCTACTTTGCGCATTTCCCTCGCTCCCATTAATACCGAGAGTAATCAAAAAAGTGAAGAGGAAGAGGTGAAGGACTTACTCATAGCACCTCACTGGCCCAGGCGGTCATGTTACCTGGATCTGGTGGACCTGTCAGTAGCCAGACCATGGAGAATTCCCTCAGACAGAATAGAGTTGACCCAGGGGACAGTACAACATCCAGAGCGACAATGGCTTCAATGGACCATCTGGCACTTAAGAGGGCCACATTGAGTCAATTAGAATGTTCAGCTAATGTAATACAAACACTCCAGGCCTCTAGGAGGCCATCAACCAATAGAATTTATGCTGCTACTTGGAAAGCATTTGAAAGTTGGTGTTCCAAGAAAAATTGACTCAACTACAGTGTTAGTGACACAGGTTCTGGATTTCCTCCAGGAGGGTCTGGAAAAGGGCCTGGCTCCCAAAACATCCTGTAGGCAGGTAGTGGCGATAGAATCAGTGTTGGGTTGTGAGACCTTGGCATCCCTTACACAACATCCCCTGGTCTGCACGTTCATCAGAGGGGCAACCACTGAAGGCCACCAGTGATTCACAGGTACCCCATCTGGGACCTGACAAAGGTGCCATTTGACATGACAGAACCATTTGAACCATTGAGGCCAGTTAGTTTGTACTCGCTTACCCTTAAGGTGGCCTTCCTAGTGGCCCATTACATCGGCCAGAAGGATATCCAAATTAGTGGCCTTATCTGTGAGGGAAGATCTTTGCACATTCCATCCAAACAGAGTAGTATTAAGCCTGGATCTGACCTTCATTCCAAAGGTGAATTTCACATTCCATAGAGCTCAGGAAATCGTGCTACCAGACTGCTGCCTGGAACCAGTCCATAGCTTAGAAAAGAAGTGGCACTCTTTAGACGTAAGGAGAGCAGTACGCATATATATTTAAGAGAACTAGGGCCATTAGGAGAATGGAAACATTGTTCATATCAATCAGACCTGGTTCTTTGGGTCAAAAGCTTTCACCATCAATCATAGGTTGGTGGATCAGAGCATGTATTACAAAGGCTTATGGAAGCCAGTCATTACAGCTCCCAGGTAGTATAAAGGCACACTCAACCAGGAGTGCAGCCGCAGCGGCGGCTTGGAACACACAGGCCCCAACTGAAGAGATCTGTAAGGCAGCAATGTGATCATCACCATCTCTGTTCATCAGGAACTATAAGTTGGATACCTTCGCATCAGCAGAGGCAGCCTTTGGAAGAAGGGTACTACAAAGAGTTCACATGGAGGTGGGGATTCGGGACTAGACTATTGCCCACCCTTAGGACAACTGGTTTAGGTACGCTCTACACTTTGGATTCTCTGACCCATACAGTTGAGAAAGAGTGTTGGTTCTTACCTGAAACACATCATCTAGTTGTACAGGAGGAGAATCCAAACCCACCCGAGTAATGTCAGTCCCGAGTTTAGGACCATCAAGAAAGAGCACCAAGAAATCTCCAGGTCAATCATTAGCCTTCATCAAAAACTGGGCATGCGCAGTGGAAGGAGGCGGAACTAAGCTTTGATTGACTCAGTCTTCAAGGAAGGAAGCAGAGACTACCCACGCTTTGGATTCTCCTCCTGTACTACTAGAAGATGCATTTCAGGTAAGAACCAATGCTCTTTCCCCATGTTAGCCAAAAACAAGAAGTGTTTTTCTGTTGTGGCATTGACCACAACATATATGCTTCCTCTCATCAAATTGTTCCTTTCTTAATGGTGTTCCAGATAATGTTAAAAATCAAACTTTTCCAAAGGGCTTGTATTCTGCAAATTGTCATCTTTGTATTTGGTTTACTGTGTTTTTAATACTTTGATGTTAAATATAATTATATTTTATTAAAACATTTTAATTTTTTCCTGTTTTAATGTATTGCCATTGTCATCTTATAAAAATGAGTAAAGTAACGAAAGCCTGTTTAAATTTTCAGTTTTTCAGCTGAGATCAAATTGGCTCTCTTTTGAACTTGCCACAAAATAACTGTAGTCCAGACTTGGCAACGTATATAATATTAAATGCAGTTTGGTTTGTATTTATAAATGAGAGCTGAACTGCATGTTCAATTAAGTATGGCATGTAAACACATAATCATATATGATTTATGGAGAGGTGTGGTAACATCCCCTCCCTACGTTGTATTTTTATTAATGTGTTCTTACTATTTTATTTGCAATAAGCAATCAAATAATATCAAGATAAAATTGTTTTAGCACATTAAAATCAAAATATATGCCTTTTAACATGTTTTGCATTCATTTGATCTATATACAAACTTATTCTATCTGTAGATAGCTATCCAAAACAGTTATATTGAATGCAGTGGATTTTGAATAGCACTTTTAAAAATGGACTTATACCATCAAATGGTAAAGTGTTATGTTTGCCAATGCAATACTTGCAGAAATATAGTCATTTGTTTGATCCCATATCACAGCCTTCTACAGTATGACTCAGGTTTCAGCAACTTTGACACATAATATCTCAGGCAATATTTTATTGAGCGAAACAAAACTTGGCCATCTTGTACAACTTTTTGTGCTCTATTAAACAAAATAAAAATATTCTCATGAGCAATCTCCATTTAGATAATTTAACCTTTTTAGAGCCACAATATTTTCAGCCAACTTTACTCCAAATTATCTAGCTGGAGATTGCTCATGAGAATGTTTTTATTATTTTGTTTAATAGAGCACAAAATTTGTACAAGATGGCCAAGTTGTGTTTCGCTCAACAAAATATTGCTAGAGATATTATGTCTCAAAGTTGCTGAAACCTCAGAGTCATACTGTAGAAGGCTGCGGTATGGGGTCAAACAAATGACTATATTCTCAATCACCCAGGTCCTGGTTGTGCCAAAGGTACTTATTTAAAAGACAACTAGACTGTTGTTTTTTTCCTTGAAAATGTTTCGCTTCTCATCCAAGAAGCTTCATCAGTTTTTAAGGATGAAAAGCGAAACATTTTCAAGGAAAAAAGAAGAAAAGTCTTTTAATAAAGCACCTTTGGGACAATAAAATGAAGAATTCTTCACTAATACTTGTGATTTGAAATTAGGGGTTCTTCACCCAGGATAGTTATGTAAATATGACAGGATTATATCTGACTATAATTTTCCTTTTTTGTATCTTACTTTTTTCATGAAAATGAGTTATTTATAAGAGCACTGGCAAATCTATAGTAGTTTTTAGGGCAATTGTGTTAACAGAATGCAGGAAGACCAATCATCTCTTGCTGCCTTATATCTTGTTATGTCTTTGAAAACAGGTACCTGGTGTAAACCTTCCCATCAGCCAGCTGTCCTATTTCTTCACAGCAATCCTCATCAGTGGTATTATACATGAAGTTGGCCATGGAGTGGCAGCTATTAGGTAATGAAATCCACATTTTGACTTTGTAACAAGAAAAATACATTTGCTAGAAGCCTTAATTTATATGATTTCTTAATTTCTCATGTTTACATATACATGTAGTCCTTGACTTACGAATATAATTGAGCCTGCCAATTACATTTGTAACCTGAGGATTTGTAGGAGTGAATTGTGTACCTTGACTGTAATCACTCCCTGCTTTCGCGCTCACATTAGCTAACCAAATGTGTGGGTTATTAAATGCACATGAGGTATCTCAGAGTGGGGAAGGCCATGGGAGCCTAGCGATGGAACAGGCCATCTGCTTTAGACCACACAAGACCTCCCCAAACTCAGTGGGCTATTATGTACTCCCACTCCTGGCATCCCTACAATTGTTCCCCCCTCCATCCTACCCTGCCAGGTCACTTAACTTGTGAAGATCTGCCTCCTCTCCAGTCTCTCTCCCACGGTTTCTTTGTAGTCTTGGCATGAAGAGCATTTGCACGCTGATGAGACTTTGGGGCAGTGAAATCACTTGCTTCAAGCCTCCCATCAGCTTGCACATGCTTTTCGCACCATTCCAGTCTCACCATGAAATGCATTTGCAAGACGGCGAGACTTTGGGGCAGTGAAATTGCCTTGCTTGAAGCCTCCGATCGGCTTGTAAATGCTCTTCGCACCGAGATTGGAATGGTGCGAAAGGCATTTGCAAGCCAATGGAGGCTTCAAGCAAGGTGATTTCGCTGCTGCAAAGTCTCGTTGGCTTGCAAGCCTTCGGCCAGATCTGGTACAGGTCTTAGTTCGCAAAGAACAGAGGCCTAAACTACTGTAGTGCAAGGTCATGTGAGATCAGTAGTGTGAGATCTTGCGCTACTGATCTCATGTGATCTTGCATTACAGTATGTTAGGCCTCTGTTTTCTACAAACTAAAGTCTGCATGAGATCCGGGGCCGCCTTCTGTTTCTCTCTTTTCCTCTGTTCCTCTGTTTGCAAAGCCTTTTGCCTCAGATCTTATATGGCCCTCAGTTCACGGAAAATAGAGGTCTAACATATTGTAGTGCAAGATCACATGAGATCAGTAGTGCATTTTCTGCAAATGCACCAAAGCAGGCAATGGAACTGACAGTAGCTAGATCATCTCAAGGTACATGAGTCACCACAGGCTTAATGGCTGTGGAGACCCCAGGGGGAAATAGATGGGGGGGAATGTTGCAGTACTTCTGCCATTGTTTGTAAGTGTGAACAACAACTGTAGTGCTGTAACATTCGTAACTTCAGGGCTAGGTTGTAAGTTCTTTGGGGGAGGCTAGGTCATAACTTTGAACGGTCGCTAAGTGAACTGTCATAACTCAGGGATTATCTATATGAGAATATATGGGCTTCCAAAAAACAAGGAAGAAAATCTCAAAAACAAACAAAACAGAAAAAAGATAAAATGATCGAGAATCTTGGAATGACTTTCCACTCAAAAGGAACTAGACCACACTTTATGAGTACACAGTATGCCTCAAATCAAATCAGATCAAACCTTACCTTTATTGTCAATAAACAACATGTGTACAATGAAATTGAATGAGCCTCCCTTGGTGCAGCACCCCCCTCCCCAAAACATGAAGTAATAGTAATAGTAATAGAATTCTTTATTGGCCAAGTGTGATTGGACACACAAGGAATTTGTCTTGTTGCAAATGCTCTCAGTGTACATAAAAGAAAAGATACATTAGTCAAGAATCATCAGGTACAACATTTAATAATAGTCATAGGGTACAATAAGCAATCAAATCATACTAGGTAGGTCACAGTCAATATAAAGCAACAAAGCTACAGTCATACAGTCACAAGTGGGAGGGGGTTGAGGGAATTATTTGTTTAGCAGAGTGATGGCATTCGGGAAAAAACTGTCCTTGTGTCTAGTTGTTCTGGTGTGCAATGCTCTGTAGCATCGTTTTGAAGGTAAGAGTTGAAACAGTTGATGTCCACGATGTGAGGGGCCTGTAAATATTCTCACAGCCTTCTTTTTGACTCGTGCAGTATACAGGACCTCAATTTAAGGCAGGTTGGTAGAAATTGTTTTTTCTGCAGTCCTAATTACTCTCTGAAGTTTGTGTCTGTCTTGTTGGGTTGCAGAACCAAACCAGACAGTTATGGAGGTGTGGACTCAATAATTCCTCTGTAGGACTGGATCAGCAGCTCCTTGGGCAGTTTGAGCTTTCAGAGTTGGCACAGAAAGAACATTCTTTGTTGTGCTTTTTTGATGATGTTTTTGATGTTAGGTATCCCTTTTTGGTCTTGTGATATGATAGAACCTAGAAATTTGAAGGTCTCTACTATTGATACAGAGTTGTCCAGTATTGTAAGAGGTGGTAGTATGGGAGGGTTTCTCCTAAGGTCTACCACCATTTTTATGGTTTTGAGTGTGTTCAGTTGCAGATTGTTCTGATTACACCACGAGGCAAATTGTACAACTTCCCGTCTGTATGCGGATTCTTCATTGTCTCAAATGAGACCAATCACTGTTGTATCATCTGCAAACTTCAGAAGTTTAACAGATGGATCATTTGAAATGCAGTCTCAAACATTTCAAAATACAACATGGCATCATGTAACTTAGCGCTGTGCTAACATTTGCATCAGATGGAATATAGACAGTGGTGGTAACTATAAAAAATCTCTCTAGGTAAATAAAATGGCCAACAAATGACAGTTAAAAATTTCACATCTGGAGAACAGTGTATATAAACAACTCTACTGTTAGTGAGCCAGTCATTACATGTGTGTAAATACAAAGTCCTCCACCTTTGCTTTTACTGGAATTGCCATTTCTGTCAAAGTGGTGTGTGGTGTGGTTAGTTAGCTCCACTGACACATCCAGTAAAAGTGGATAAAGCCAGGTCTCTCTAATAATCATCACACAGTCATGAATGAGCTTATTTGCCGCCATCCATAGCTCTAGTTCATCAGTTTTGTTGACAAAGGATCTAGCACTGGTTAGAAAAATACTTGGGCTGCTTCCATAACTGAGCTAGCAAACCAGCTCTGCATCCCTGCTTCTGCTTTCTCTCTTTTCATTGTTGACATCTCCTCCCAGGCCCAGCAACGATCCATGAAGAGCCTGGCAGTCTTATTACATCACTCAGTATATTATGAGACTGTTGGAAGTTGCTGGTAATATCTAGTCGCCTAGAAAATCCAATCTTTAATAACTCCCCGCGGGTATAGACTAGTTTTTGCCCACTCACTCCATTATAAAACACCAGGAGCTCAAAGTCACAGTGTTTACAAGCACAGCCATCTTGGATGTCGCCCCCTGCCTCACCTTGCCTCTAGTCAGGCGTCTACTTAACCTTAAGATCATCATCTGCTACCACGTTTTCTCGAAAATAAGACCCAAGTAGAAAATAAGCCCTAGCATGATTTATTAGAATGCTCCTAAATATAAGCTCTATCCCAATATAAGTCCCAGTCAAGAGCGTCAGCCCTGGGAGGAGTGGGGTGACCATGGCGACCACAGGAGGCAGCAAGTACATGGGTGCTGCGGCATGGCACCACTCCTGCCCCACCATCTGCCTTGCCTGATCCGTTTGGTGCGCAACCTCATCAACAACAAGATTGGCAACAGATGCCAAGAAGGAAGGGCAGGAAAAGGAGAGTAAGAAGGATAATAAGGAAAAGGAGAAGGAAAAAAGTGAAGCCAAGAAAGAAAAGAAGTACTGTAGTATTAGTAACCAGGTTTTTTATTTGTAAATTAAAAGCATTAAATTGCACCAGGCTGCTCTGGCTGAAGATTCTTTCATGTCAGTGGCTTGGGAGGGACCAAGAGCCAAATGAGTTCACGGCTGCCTGAAATATGCTTGCAGAGGCTGCTGGACACGGAATGGGAGGCCCCATGCCTGCCTCCACCTGCTGCTGGTGCTGCCCTTAGCAGTCTCAGTTGCTGCAAGTACATCAAAAAGTAAAAGTGGGACTTGCCCACCGTCCCTTGCACTATGGAAGGTGGTGAATCATAGAGAAGAGCCACCTTCCTTTTGGGAAAGAGCCGAGAGGCGTTTTAATAGCAGGTCAAGCTAGGTGTTCTTCAGATCATATCCTGGCGTGTTTTGGAAGGGAGAAGGTGCAAGCTGCTGGCAAGAGACTGCAAGATGTGTGTGTGTGTGTGTGTGTGTGTGTGTATAAGTGTATACATGTATACATGTATATATAAATATTTACACGCACACACACACGGTGAGGGCAAGACAGTCTAGTCTGTTGCCCTGGGCAAAAAACCTGGAAGCATCTCCCTCCCTCCCTCCCTCCCTCCCTCAGATAAATCCTGCAGTCTCTTGCCGCCAGTGTGCAAATCCAAGCATGAGCAATAGCAGCTGCACCTTCTCCCTTCCAAAACATGCTGAGACATGATCTAATGCGCTTGCCACTCACTTGCAGCAACTGGGACTACTGCAGATCCTTCGGGGCAGCCTGCAGCCTTTCCTGGGCTAGGAGAAGATGTAGCCCAGAATCATTGGTGCTGACATTGTAATCCTGTAAAGAAACCAGAAGATGAGTGGAAATCCAACATTCTTTCCAGCCTGCCTGACTAGGGATCACACTAGTCAGCTTTCTCTGCTGAAACACACACACATGCGTGTCACATGCAATATGTACTGCGTTTCCCCGAAAATAATCTCTAATGCTGCTTTTGGAGCCTCCAAAAATATAAGACCGGGTCTTATTTTTGGAGAAACATAAATATTAATAGGAATTAAGTACGTCTCCTTCCCTAAATTAACTCCAACTTCCCCTGACTTCATTAAACCCTCATTTTGAGGTAAGATGTTTGCCCCAAATTCTTGACATTTATTTCAAGAAGCATTGGAGCTGATGCAAATGAAATTCTTAAGTTGTATCTGCTTCCCCTAACAGGAAAACAAATGTTCATGTTGGAATGGAACTAGGAATGCCCTGAATCCAAATGTGAGTTTGGAGGTTCGTGACTAATTATCAGCTAAAAACTTTTTCCCCAGGAAGTCATCATTAAG